ATGATGGTACATTCCAGTACCCACTGCGGCGTGCAGCCCGAGCCATCCATATTTATTTATCATCGACGACGCTCACTGGGGTGTGTACAAACTCCGGAGGGGCTCCTACAGCCCAAGCGCAATATCTTGGTCAGTCATTATTACTTGACCGGTCAGCCATTGTTACCTGACCAATTTATATCATACAGTGCCATTGTTACCACTGTTCAAGTATNTTTTTGTATGGCTTTAATCAAATATTCAAGGATGCCAAATTATATTTTGACATTTGCTATTTACTACTCGCTCTTACCTGACTTACGGGGAAGTTGGAATGCTTTGCAGGGTCCATGTGCTATATGTCTGGTTCCATCCAGATGGAAAATGTTTATGCCACTGAAAATGAAGCAGGTGTTTGGCAATGGCTTTTTGGAAAGACTATTACAAGCATAGTTCTTCACAATACAGGTACAACTGATGGATTTGTTGGAATAGCTGCTCCTTCTCTGGCAAGAATCCTTCCGGTTCGTTCACATCCAAACTATATTTTCATCTTGTTTGGTTATACAATCTTCTTTAGTGAGTACACGCTTGTGCATGTGCACAATCCGGAAATTGGGGATAGAAGTGCAGGATAATTAACCACCAATAAGTATAATGTCTTATTTGTTCTCGCACCGGGGTTACCTAGAAAGGTATTAGATCGAGAAAACTGTGAGACTCCACAGTTTAGTTACACATTGTTAGTACGGATGATTCTGTTTACATATACTATTACTAAATAAATTGGTATTTGTTGCTTCTGTTTCATTGTTCCCACACAGATTGATTTAGCGAAGTTTGGAGGTGAAATCTTATGCCAGGTAAAGATAATTCTTTATCTTAATATCCTTTTTAGTTCTTGCAAATTCTCTTTCTTGTAAGCCCCTCCTGATTGCTTTAAGTGTTTACTGGTAAAGTATGTTTTCTACCTTGACACATGACTTCAAGAATATTATTTTGTAGCCAGATGCATTTCTCTGCTCCATTAATGATGTCAAAGTCAGTAATTCCATCGACCAAAGGCCACGTAACCTAGTTGCTAATGCAGAGGTGAGATGATAAAATTGTCTTGACTTTATATACAGGCATGATTTTCAGCCTTGCTGACGGTAATTGCTACAAACAGGTTGAATCTTTGACTAATATGCTTGTAACATTTCCAGGGATTCTTAAGGCAGAAGATATCAGGCCAAGGGCTTGCATTTGTAGTCGGAGGTGGTTCTGGTAAGATTTTGAATCCCAGTTAACTAATAAACATAGACTTCTGTGGAGAATATTAAAGATGATGCCTAGAAAGATGGTGGCTATTCATTTAAGTTTTTTTGTCTTACGTGCGTTTGTCTGAACCAGCACCCTATCATTTAAACTTAAATAAGATTGCTTGGACCATTTTATTTTGAGATGTAAGATTAAGAAGTTTTAATCACAAGTTCTATTTACTGATTCATTTCGTCGGGCAATATTTGTTTTTCTTCCTCAGTTGTACAGAAAAATCTGGAGGTGGGTGAAGTACTTGCTGTTGATGTGCCAAGCATTGTTGCAGTATCATCAACTGTCAATGTTCAAATAAAATACAATGGACCCATGAGAAGGGTGGTATTTGGGGTATGTTTTCACATGTCTGCTTCGTTTGATTTCTCCTTTCATTCATCCTAACTGTTTATTGCTGAATAATATTCATCAATTAACGTATCAAGAGATACCTCTGCTGGCAGTAATCATTTGGGTTTTCTTGTTTCATTCTTTGTCCTCCTCGTAACATCTTGTTGTTCAATGATTTAAAAAAAACGTATTTGTTGTTCATAAGAGTAGTGTTGAAAATCAAGGTTAAAGTCCCTGCAAAGGTAAAAAAAAATTAGGTGATCTCTTCCTATATGTCTAGGAGTTGGTGGACGTAACTACTTGGCACCTGCGCGCTGGTGAGAGGTAGCAAGTATCTGGTAGACTAGTTAACATGCATGCAACCTGTCCCAGATGTTTATCACCTTAAAATAAAAGGAATTTGAAAAGGTCAGTTATCATCTACCAAAAGCAACATTTGAACCCATAAACCCTACTTGGTATTAATTTTAGCTGAGCTTTCTTTACTGCAGGACTGATCTCTCCTCGTTGCTCTCTTCTAGGAGGGGCTTTTACTTTCATTTATCTTTAAAAGTTAACAAAGAAAGAGAAGAATAAACAAAAAAGTGTAGTTTCTTCTGTAAATGTTTATTTTTGTGTTTCAGTTAGTATGTAAAGTCGATTCCCATCCTTTTGTTTGATACTAGTTCTTGGATACGTGCGTTGCAGTGTATCCCATGCTAAGTAATATAATATATTTTAAAAATACTATAATTCTGTTGATATTAATTAGAAGAGGGGGAAGAGATTAGAAAGCATGATTATTATTCATTAATATATAAATATATATTTTTAATTTTGTTCATTATAGATAAATGTTTTGAATAATGATTGTATTTATAAGAAAATGATTTCCTTCATAAAAAAATCTGAAAATTTTCGAGTTAAGAGAAATAAACAGAGAATTATCGTAAATGCAAGCTCTAGAAATTTTTTATACATGCATGAGATGTTTAAGAAATAACTTTATTAGTAGTATTTATTATAGTGAATGTTCACTTATGGCATCACATTCATTATATAGAATTTATATCTAATATGGTATTTATTATAATGAGTATTTACATTTCTATCCAAAAACAATTTAGCAATAATATTTAATAGAAGGGCAAGAGTGTCATTCAGCTTTATAAGGATATTTTGGTATTTCAGTCGCCATCTCTAAGATGTTCATGTAGTGATACAATGAAATGAGTATATCAACAAGGCCAAGTGAGACCAAAGAAACAATAGAGTAGATCTTTTTTTCAAATTAATATTCTGGTCATAATCTGTTCGAAGTTGAGGGTTTCAGGGCTTTTTTAAAGCGATTCCTTCCGTTAGTATGTCTGAGATTGCAACCTTTTATTAAGCTGTTTACTTCAATATTACCTGAGCTCCTCATTAATGATTGAAGTAACCTGACTTGTGACTCTTGATTTTCTATGAAAATATATGTTTAGCCTTCTGCTTTGCGGAACTAATCTGACTTGGGTTTGCCGTTGTTATCTTATGATTTGGTTCCTGAGACAGATTGTCCCAACTATATTTGTATGATTGCAGAATGATAATATGGTAACAGCTGTTCTAACGGGGCCTGGTATTGTATTTATTCAAAGCATGCCTTTTCTTCGGCTTTCACAACGCATTGCTAGGTATTTCTCCTAGACGATGAAACCATTTGTACTTGTTAAATTACAGTGCTACTTTCAGTCATCCAAATTGCTGCACCTATGGTTGAAAATTGACAATGTTTCTTTTTCGCTGTTGCAGGGCGGTAACATCTCCAAACATGAGGGACAATCCCAAATTCTTCATTCAGATAGCAATTTTCTTCTTTCTAGCTTATGTTGTTGTTGTGTCATCATTGATCTTGACAGATATTTGAACCTTTTCACTTTTCATTTTCACAAAATTGTAGATTGTTCGTTGCGTCCTCTAAGCCTTTTTTTGGATTGACAGGCATTTGAATGTTAATTACAGATATAGAGTAACAGTAAGCAGGGCTATGACTTTCTTTCAATTGTGGCATAGTTTGGTATAGAAAACTGTAAAAGCAATGGGAAGTGCTCACTTGTATAATGTATTTGAAACTTCCAATCATAGCTGGACGGCTTTTCTGGTTCAATAACTGCAAAATCTATCTGTTCATTTTAGAATACCATGGATTACCGGAGAAGTTTCATTACTCTTATATATATTTGTCAAAACTGAGAATAAATTGTTGCCTGATTTATTACTTACAAGTTCCCTTTTTCTTTTTCATTGTATGAATTTAGAATTGGATAATATAGTTTATCTAGCTTATTTATACTTTATAGAGTGCAATATATGTGTTTGCAACGAATTTTCGTAGGAAAATAAAATTGCAATTACAAACAACTATAAAGAAAAAAGGATTTTATTGATAAACATTGCGGGTTACAACTCTGTTTATCCCTTGATTCCTTCCTCCGATTTATTATCCATAATTCGAGGGTCTTAGCGGCGTATTTCTCGCATGTAGGATGATATGCATCTTCTTGATGTACGATTATCAAGAAGCATGTAGCAACACTTCATTTGGATCTTGAATGTTACTTGAACTTTGAGCAAGACATATTTGACATGCCTTTGATTTCTTAATGAATATTCCAAGAGTTTTATGGAATTTCAAAGATCATATATTTGATATCTTTGTGCATATTCGAGGAGTTTATAGAATTGTTGAGATCCTCTTTGAAGGACATATGTAGCCTTATTTATATGCATGAATTAGGGTTTGGGTGGAGTAGCCACCAAGTAACCCTAATAGACTCCTAATATTTCAAGAATCGTCTTGAATTTAGGATTTATCTTGATTTACTAAAATTTCAAGTGTCTACAATATGTTTCAAGTGCCTATTATGGTGGGGGCAAATGCAAAATTGCTTATAATCTCAGGTCTATATCCATATAAACTTGTGTGAGTGACAAGCGCCACCCCCCCACCCCAAAGTTGTGGTAACAGTTGACAAACAAATGGCACCCAAAGGGGTGTGTCTGTAAACCTTGAAATCCCATGTTCGAATCCCAATAGAAAATTAAAACAATGCTAGGTGATATTTTTTTTATTTGTCTAAACTTTGTGTGTATAAAGTTACTCGATTACGCTGATGGAAGGTAGTAGATATCTAGTCAAATAATTAAGGTGCACACAAACTAGTCCAAAGTCCACCATTTTAAAAAGAAAGCGTTCGGCTATTCGCCAATCATATTGCGAGGTGTTACTTCATATTCTTAAGTTGTTTTTTATAGAACCATTCGTAAAAAGTCCACCTGAATTTTAGACCCATCTTTACCCAAAAAAAAACAAGTAGTTTTGTTCCCAAATTGGTGTGTCTAAATCAGGGCCGGCTAGAGGGTAAGGCTGCTCAAGCCATTGCTTTGGGCCCCAAATTCTAGGGGGCCCCAAAAATATTATACTATATTATTATGTATTATATATCTTATCTAATTACTCTTAAGAGACCAAATTTTAATATTTGTTTATTTGGTTAAGAATGTACAAATGAGTGAGTAAAGAGCGACAAATCTCCGGCTTGTTAGTAGCATATTTATTTTCCTCTTCCGTTCTAATTTTTCCTCCTTTCTTTTACATGACTTTGAAATTTCTCTTTCCAATTTCAAACTCTGTTTCTTTGATTTAGCTATTTTCTCATATTTAATTGACTCATTGATTAGAACAGAAGCTCTTTTGTGTCTAACTGTTACATGAATTTTGTGAAATAGGCCTCTTAATACAATTTGGCTTTAGGCCACCAACTTCGTTGAGCCGCCCCTAGTCGAAATAACCGTACTTGCAAAACGATCTAGACCAACTCTGTGTTAACTCAAATCCATCATCACTAGAAATCATCAAACATTCAGAGTTCTGCTTCCTTCTAGGTAGTTATCTCAATGAACGTATTTCCTAATGTTCATTGTCTAGATGTATACAAATCAGATTCTTAATGTTAGAAGAAAGATATGAGGAGTAAATTCTAATTATCTTTATGCCTACCACTTAAGTAGCTTTCTTTGAGATCCTGCAGAGCCTCCCTCAAAGAATCTTCATCCTGATCCGAAAATTTCAAGCACATCAGCCGTTGAGCCACTTGGTAAGTCAATTGTAAGTCCTGATACTGTCTGTAATTCACCTCCATTCTCTTCATTTCCTATACGAAGGCAAAAAAAGGCAATCCAATCAACATAACATGCATGTGCAATTCTAACTTTCTCAAAGCTTGGCAAATCGAAGCACAAAATTCAGTGAAGTAATGCAAATGCATTGGAAATCTCATGGTTAGAAATATTTGAAAATGCAAAGATGAGATAACCTCCGCGCCTATGTGAGGTCTACAAAGCATAGTCGGTCCCAAGATTGGATGAAGAAGTAAGATTGTGATACGTTGATGGCAGATTTAAAATAGTCTAAGATGCAAGAAAGGGGTAAGGTCTGCGTGCACAAGGTAGGGGGTAAGGTCTGAGTACACACTACCCTCCCCAGACCCCACTTATGGGATTACATTGGGCATGTTGTTGTTGTAAGATGAAAGATAGTTACTGTGATTTCTACTTTCCTGTTTGAACCATAAAGTATTTTGAACACCTAATGGCAATTTCTCAGACAAGACATTGTTTGTTGAAGTTAAAATAAATTACCTTCTCTTTAATCCTAGATGTGATTTTTTTGGCAGTTTCTACTACTGAACTTGGTAGTCCAGCCACCCCTGCTAACATAAGGCCGTAATGTGGCACGTGACGCAGTCCATCCTTCAATAGAAACTAAGAAGGAAACACAAAAGGAAATAAGTAGTCAGGTATAAATTGGCTATAAACCATTGAATGATTCAGAGATATACCTTGAAGTCCATGCGGTTATTCCTCACATCAACATCAAAATGAAGAATTTTCACATTCGGATACATGGTGGCTAGCTCTGAAAGATTTTCCATATGAGTAGCAAATATTGAGTACCTGAAAACAGCTTAAAAAGAATCACACTCTGGACAAGAAATCCACCCCTTCACCTCTCTTACCGGGGAAAAACAGAAAAATCTAAGTGCGCGCTACAACCACTACTACACCGCAGTCTCAAACAAGCTGGGCTCACTATATGAAAAGGTCTTATACGACCAAAGAGACGAAAATGGAGGTATATACATGGGTTGGACTATGAAACTTGGCTGTATGTATTACATAACAACTATAAAATACATTCAAACACCTCCCAGCAGTTCTCTGCCAATATGCTAAGCAGAATTATGAAGTCTAAAATTTAACTCTGAGAAATAATGAAATCTAGGAAGTGAGAAGATGAAGAATTTTATTAACAATCTCCACAAAACAAATGAAGAAATCCATTAGGATAATATCTTCTCTATAAGGAACTTTAAAGGCTCAGTGAACAATCCTACGTGTGCCCCCACAGATGAGTGCTAAAGGCATTTACTTCTTGCAAGAAAATGTAGCGACAACACGATGTTCACTCCCTGTTTCAAGGTCCAGTTCAGTATTTATTAGTATTTAACTTCCACATTCAAATAACAAAAGAAGAAAATTTTCAAGCATGATGTTCCCTTGGTATACTGCAGAAGTCTTTTGTAGGTTTACTAACATTCTTGATTGGTTTCTAATTTTTTCGTTCCTTAATTGAATCCTGCTTCTTAGAAGCCCCAGAATTGGTAGTCTTCCTACCATTTATAGTATCCAGGTAAGAGCAGGGTTTTTAGCAGTTCACAATTACCAAAATGTTCCTTCAACTTATAAAGGGCAAAATTAAAGCCTAAATTTCAAACTTTACTGCAGTTCATACAATGTAAAATATAAGCTACCTAGCTAATCTTCTAGTTATAGGTTTTGTTATGAAATACATGCTTGGGCTGCTTAACCATATTGCCTTTTAACATTGAAATACAAAGAGAGCTTTGAGATTACGCTTTAAGTGCCAATAGCTGCTCACAACAACTCCATGCGATTGCAAATCCATCAGAGGACGAAGTCGCCCTCCCCAATTCATCCATAACGATCAGACTTCTGTATCCAGCAAAGGAGGTTCAAATCACACAGACAAACCTTCATGCCAATTTTGTGAAAACAGTTTGTGAAACGATCTACCTAGAGGAGACGTTTTGCATTATAAAAGCCGTCTCCTTCATCTCTGTCATGAACTGCACAAACCACAGTTACACTAAATACTGGTGATTTCTGTATCGGCCATCTCCATGAGAAGACGATTCAAATATAAAGAGCAAAATTTGCAATTTGAAGAGGTCAAACTTCACCAGAAACTTAGCTAAACTAACGCTAAGCTTTTTCACAAGTACAACTAACTATTGCATAAATATATGAACAAAATCAATGCTATTCTAAAATATAGAACTTTCAGACCACAATATACCATTCAAAATTAGAGCCTTAGAGGATCATACCGTGCTAGAGTTTGATTCGAGACAGTCCATTGTTCCCATCCTTGTAAAAATACGATCGACCACTCTCAAAGTGGCAAACCGAGCAGGAATATAGCAACCAATTTGAGCAAGGATGACAGTTAGACAAACTTGCTGAAGATAAGTACTTTTTCCACTCCTACAAAAATCAATATATGGGAGTTATCAGGTAGAAAAATGACAACCAAAAGCTAATGTAAAAACTGTCTCAAAGTACTTATTAAGAAATTTGATGCTATTAAGGAACACGGTTCCTTACATGTTTGGGCCCATTACAATAGCCATATTTGATGCTTCAGAAAGAAAGATACCATTTGGCTGAAAAAGAGAATTCAATCACCACGTCCATGTTCAGAAATTTCCAGTATCCAAGTAGAAAAGTCATTAACTTGCTATGTGGAGAGAAATTTCAAACTTTTACTAAGATTTTTAGAAGAAACTAACATACAATGAATTCATTGTTTATGCTTTCCAGAATGGGGTGCCGTCCAGAATCAATTGCCAATGGGCCATCACCTATGAGGGAAGAAAAATTAAGCGATCAACTTCTTCATATCTTGTCACCTAGTAAGTATAGGGAGTTGTGATTAAATACTCACATGTAAAATTAGGTCTAGTATATCTATCAACTGGTTTTGTTGATATCGTGTGAGCAAATGAATTCACCATCATGTCTAAAAGGCACAACACTTCTGAAAGAACGGTAAGCACAGAGACATCCTCTCGTATTGCATCCATTAATGCTGCATTTAGTATGAAATGGCAAGACTTTTAAGTAGGATGAGTTCTCAAATAACAACAGGGTAAACAGAATGAAGAGCATGGCACTTCCCTGAGTATGTTATATGTCAGTACAGGTTAAAGATGCATTTTTTAAATGTTGAGCAGAATTGTCAGATACGCAAGAAAACTCATATTAGTATTGAAGCACCAACCATGAGAAGGGGAGTAATCTTCCAAGTACAGAAAGAAAGGAAGAGAACATTAACAAGAGCTGCCGTTCAATCTCATTCAGAGAAATCCCTATGATTCTAATCAACATGTCATTACTAGTGGATTTAGTGGTAAACCCAGTGTATGACTATCCAATTCATATTTTCTAGCCAGAAGGAGCGCCACAATTGATAGTGGGCAAACATATACTATGTGCAAGTGCGGCGATACTTAAGTACTGGTACTCTGTTGCTAAGCATCTGGCTACCCATATAATGAAGGGAAGAAGTCCATGTCTGGAGCTATGCTATTGTAGAATCATTAAGATGCATGGAAACTACTACTCAGATATTTACCAGAGCCCAGGGCAGGCAATGAGAATTAAAAATATTATTGGAAGCTTTTATCAGAGATTTTGGCCTCTGCTAACATATATAAAAGCTCTCTTTAAAAAGAAAGTGGACTAGTCTCTCATTGCAATCAAGCCTGATAGACCATCTAAGCTTTGCATCTCTTGTGGGGTTTTGATGCAGAATGCAAGAGGAAAAAGATAAGATGTAAGATCATTCTTGCTATTTTACCAAAGCTTTAAAGATGTCATAATGATTTTTTATCTAAATTTATGTGTTAACATTAAGCTGATCTGCTGACAAATTTTTGGCTATATTATCATATTCTTGAGTCAAGGGCACTATACTAACACGGTATTTTGTACTGAATTCGCAGGAAATATACCCTACTATTCTCAGCATCTTTTCAGCAATTAAACAACGAAGGATCAGCCCCAAAGTTTCCACTCTTATTTCAAGTTCCCGATCCACTAAATTGTGCTACATCAACTTTGTCCCAACATACGACTAAAACCACAAACATAAGGATCAAAAATAGTCCCGATAGTTGCCTTAGTTCAAAATTCAAACACCAAAAGATTTTGCTGACATAAGATGAAAAACCCATAATATGTTCAAATCATTTCTTCTTGCCCCATGGAAGCACCCCAAAAAATCAAAGCTTTATGAAGCAAATGCCTTAGTTATGAAGTAGCCGCTAATATTGTCATGCTGAAAAGACAAGGATTTGATTAGGTAGACAAGGGATTCAATGGCAATAGCAGAAAAGGTTGTACATTTCAACCATCAATTTACCTTCCAGGCAGAATGCAGTCCTCAACCAGCACTCTTTAGCTGCAGACTTGTTCCTAGCATTCAACTGTGAATAAAAGCAGTGAATGAAGAATAACCACCTCATCTATGAGCAAAGTTAAGGATTATGAAATGGTACATTCTTTCACAAAAAGAGCGAATAGGTTGATAATGCAACTGTATCCAAATAAAACAGTCCTTGGTTCAAAAGGAATTTTATCTGCTAGTTGATGGATATTCTAATATCAAATTTGATGCTTACATGTGAACAGAAGGGAATGAGTAATATTTGGATCAATGACAGAATCTTAAAAGTTTCAGTCACAGTCAGCACATACAGACACGAAGCTCTGTACAGATTAAGACAGAATGCCACAAATTTTGAGGTTAACCAATTCCTGAACAGCCTGCCTCTTTCACGTTTACATAGATCAGGGTGTAACTCAAAAGTGCCATCCCTATCCTCAACTAATTTGTTTACTATCTTTCGGGAAACACCACTACATCATGCAGTACTTCAGGTCACAACAGGTTCTAGAAGTGCAAAGAAGTCCAACAGATTCAGAAGACCATCCAAAGGAAAGAATGATCGCATAGCGAACTCTATAAAGTTAAACACTATGGCTATGTTTAAGACGTTTGCCCTCCTCCTGAAATATTTGCTCTTACTTTCTAGTTACTTTAATTGTCTTAAACTCTTAAAAAGTATTTTACACCACATGAAAGAAAACAATTTACATATTTTCAGGAGTGTTAGTCATTCTCCACTACAGTTGTCTCTGTCCTTGCTTAACACTTGCTTTCACCAACCTATGCAACTATATCACCAGACAGTATTCCCACACTTACCTTTCACATTATTGCATATTGAAAACATTTTACGCTGATCCACTAAATGGTTTTCCTCATAAAAATTTGCAAGAACAAATCTTATGGAAAATGTTTTGCACCAAACCAAATGGAGCCTACAGAGGAATGTAGCAATGGATGTCAGGTAATACTTACTGAAGCAAGTTCAAGACTGGAGCAATGTACATTGTTTCCATGTTTCATGACCTGATTAGTGTGAAAGTTGTTAGAGGAAAAGAAGCATGAATGCTTAAGAACAGTTTAATTTTTAACATAGCATGACAACCTGAATGAACTTGCTCGGCAGTTTTCCCTGTATGTCCTTCTGCGGAATGCTAAAGTAAAACCCTTTCCTGTTATTGAATGGGATCTTCAAGTTTGGCAGTCTGAAATCTTCACGATACTTATTTGCGAGGTCGTGTACAGCTACGAATTCAGTGTTTGTGTTAGAAACTAAGACAATGAGCTTAGAAGGAAAACGAACATGTAATATGGCAGAAAAACCTTCGCTGGTATCACAAAATGATCTACGGGCCATATCAAGAAGCCCATCCACTCCAGCCTTAAAAGCAAAACACTGCTGTGTCCGTGCAACAAAAGGAACTCGTGTATGAAGGACATCTTCATCAATCACTTCTCCAATTCTGAGAGAACAAATATCACATGGTTAAAATAAACATATAAATTGCAGTATTCATCGAATATCCTAAATCATATTAGAACTGCAAATCAGTTACAAGGATTGATAGATGCAGAGGAATAATTAGCTCATGGATGTTAGACAAAATTAAGGAGGAACAGGAATTCTCTCTTTCGAAAAAACAAGAATGGAAAAAGAAGAAAGTCCTCCTAGAGGGGATTGAGGTGGAGGAGATTCAAGATACATTAACAATGTAAAAATGGAACTGTCTGAATTCTGAAGAGGGCCTCACCAACATGGAGGGGGATTGGAGGAAAGAGTCAGGTATCTAAGCAAATATGAACGTTACCTGTTCCTGATTGAAGTATATTTTTCATTCTCACATATGGACTTGTAAACATTTCCAAGCAGACAACTCTTGGCTTCTTTAAGCACCTGAATCACAAGCTCATCATTGTACCATATAAGATACAGAAAAGTGAACGCCTGCCCCCAACAATGATGCTGCACCTGGGAGAGTAACGGTAAAGCATCAAGAGCGGTTTTGAGAAGAATAATGCTGGATATCATAATTTGGTTCCTCCTTCCATTATTCGAAGCCAAGACTTCATTAGTAACTCTCTTTGGCTTGAAGCAGAAGTGACAAAGGACCCTATCTGGATGGACAAACATAGGTCAACTTTCTGAAATGGGACAAGCCATATAGAATACAAGAGAGAATCAACCTCCTTTCTATTATGTGGTTACCTGTTTCTTTCGGAAACTTACGAAGGGCCTGAGACAAGCCAAAGAATAGCTGCTCATTGCTCATCAACTCATCCTGGATATAAAATGAGAAAAGTGTCACAGGTTTTGACTGGAACACATTACATCCTGAAAGGCACGGCATAAACTACAAGATAATAACACTCAAAAAGTAGCTGCAGGCTGGTTAAATGTTATTGCAACCAAAACTCAATCAAGTAATGACCAGTGTGATCGCATAATCTGGTAGCTGTAATCAAACAGCATATTCCCCTCGGTCTTAAAAACTTTAATTTTTCTGTAGAACACCTCAGTTCAGCTAGTAGTTCAGAGAATCCTCAATCTCCTCCTTCCTGTTTCGACCACCCAAAGCAACACTAACATTTAAAAAACAAAGCCTTTTCCTGAGAAGACTTGCTCTCAATAAAATAGATCTTCTAGAGGAGATACAACCACAATAGAGAATTTCTTAACGCAGAAAATTTCTAAACGAAAGTAGAAAATAACATGAAAATTTTCTGGAGGGATGGTAGCAAAATCTGATTCTATAGTAGCAGAGCATGTTATATATTCTTCTGTCTCATGCAATACGTTGAAAACCTACCAGGCAATCGAGTCGAGTGTTAATTGTCTCTATGTCTTTCAGAGGCTGCAAAAGATTTGCCCTCAGAAGTCTAGTCCTGCGGTGGAGTATGATCAAGCAAACACAGATTTATGTTGCAGGTGCACAGCATACTGAAATAGACAGATTACAGAATTTTCCATCCTGTGCAGAACTTTAACATAAGAATTATGAAGTTGCCTCAAGCGTGGGCTTAGTATGTACGTTTATCATTCTTGTATTCACAAAGTGGCAAAAGGCATTAAGCACAAAACTGACTGTCTTTTCATATACAATGCTGTGCTCCATATAGCAGGTTAACATTGTTGACAGTCTACAAATATATATACGCAGACATTTATAAATTACTATATGATTGCCAGTAATTTAGGGTCTTTGTATTACAAAAGCCAAGCTAAACCCTACACCATTCACAGTTCTGTATATTCGATAACACAATCTAGGTGTAGAAATTGAAAAGTAATGTCTATCACACAACCTTATTATAATATTATGTGAAACAAGAGGCACACTGAATAGAATTGCACAAAAATATTTATAACCATGAACTGGCAGATTATTACCAGCTTATCAATGCAATTATTTCCATACCCGCCAATAGTTCGAGTTGTTTTAAGCATGTGGAATAAACTTCTCTTTTTGCTGTTTGTGCCCAAAAGAGAAGAGTGCATAGGCTCAATTATCTCCAAGTTCTGAACACTGCCATCAAAGACGAAGTATAAAATTTACATCATCTACAAAGTCTTACAATAAATTCTAACTTTTCTAAACACAATCCTTTGGGATAATTGAAAGCGCTATGCTGATGTTATCAGCTGAAATGGAACTCAGTAGCCAGTATGACTAGTAAGTGATAGATCCAAGCTGATATGCAACATCCACTAATTTGGTATGAGGAAGCTACCTGGTGGCATCAATGTTCATGTGGTCAAAAGATCCATTGAAGGTAACCTGTGGAAAGAGAAGACAACTTTGAATCTCGAATGCTCCTTTTGACAACTCAAAGTTCCATGAAATTCTTAGATATGCTACATCCACCATAACGGCACATTTATATGTATTTTTAACATTTCTGTTTCTTGATCACAAAATGAGAAATCTCTCTTCCAAAGGAGATTCAACGAAATAGCGCATATGACCCTTTAAAGGACATAAGTGAACAAAATATTCAATAATATCCTAACCTTCAAAAAGTTGAAAATCATGCCACTTCAGTTTTTGCTAAGAAATAGGAAAAGCTTAGGTAACTCACCAACCCCTCACCCCCCAAATATTGAAATGAATAGAGAAAGAAAGTTTTCATCATTGCAATGTTCTAGTTCTATATACCAAAGCTGGACATAGTAAGTACCAATTAACACAAATATGTTACTTTAAGACCTACTAGGACAAATTTTTCTAGCCAATAGTATGCGAAAACATGATCTGAGACATTCTTCTTTCTTGGTAATATTTATTGGCGTTGCTGCAACTACTATAATCACAAACAAATCACTGAATATTGGTGAACAGGGACTAGTTCATACTTCTTTCACTTTAAATTACACTTTAATCTGGCGCAATGTGATGGACATAATAATAAAAATAATAGTTGCACTATGTGAAACCATTTTGCATGGCAAAATCATGCTTGCAGTAGATAGGTTCAATAAGTTGAAGTGTTTTCTACTTGCTTTCATTCCTGTTTGGCTCTTTTATGCATGAGAAGTTGCACATACCAGTAAAGAGTGATTTATCACAACAACACCTTTCTCAGCTTCAATCCTGCACACGATGTTCTTGCATATCATATCTGAAAATAATCAAGTGAAACAAGAGGTAGTTTTCCTCTAAATTACTAGCATCTTTAATATGCTGAAAAATAATCGTTTTTGGATTCACATATTGGTAATATGTGAATGAATTCTTGGTTACACATCCTGCCAAGCATCGAATGTGTTTTAGTTTTTCATAAAAGCTAATAAATGAAAGTCTTCACATACTCAGGGTAGTCAGTATTCAACAAAGTAACATATTAATTTGACGAAATTCGGATGTTTAAAGGTGGCTTATCAGTTGAGGAACACAGTTTAATGAAATGCAGGAACAAGTATTTCCATTGGGCTAAGGATGAGATATCAAAGTCTCATGTCGATAGTGCAACACCACAATGTTACTCATTGGTGGAGAGTATTTTTAGCTCCCTCTAAAGTGATTTGAGGGCATATCTGTTGACTTGGGCTAGCTCTTTTACACTCTAGAAAAGTAACACATAACTTAGACCTATACTAACTATGACATTCATGAGCTCACTGGATCAATTTGCAAACTGTGTATCAGAAAAGAGCATTGATGACACTCTTAGAGCAAATAAGCCTATTTGAGTGTTGCCTAGCAGATATGGATATTAATGCTGTTGCTAACTGTTCTACGGACTGCATCACGGCTCTCAAGAATTGACCAAAGAACTTGATGTTATCATTCTACATGCAAGAAGTGCAGATGAAATATTTCAATACCATGTCCATTAAATTGAAAGTCACCATAGCATCATACCACTTGATAGTTGCCGCTGCTGCAGCCAGACACAAATAATATTGCTTGTAGTATGAGTCCAAACCAAGAGCAGACGGTTCCTTAGCAGCTAATCCTTTAACCAGTACAGCTCCCTTCATAACATATTAAAGTATGAAGTACTGTCAGTGCTATTTAATGGAGAAGCAACAGAGTCAATAACGCATAGTTTCAGAACTACCCTGGTATCATCAAAGCAACCACGATTCATTATAACCTGTGTACATCAACATAAGCATAAGTCCTAAGCTTTTAAGAATTAGAAATTACGCATTTTATCGAAATAGAGCCACCAATATGTTTAGAGGCAACACCTTTCTTGTGGAGGAACAAAATCCATCAGCTAGCTGTGAGACTCCAACCATTCCATCTGCTGCCAATTTATTTGGGGGAACAATGATCGCCATAGGTTCATAGAACTGTAGTAAAGTCTTTGTATTTTGATAGGAGCTGCTAGTCTCTATATACTGAGAAAGATGCAGTGAAGCTGATCTCAAGTCAAATGCAGCTACTCCAACCTGCCGATAAAATTGCTATTGCCAGTTAGGGTGTGAAGCTTCAGCAAAGCACGGCTTTTTCCTTTTTATTTCTGATTTAATACTTAAAAAGTCGTTATCACGTGTACAAGTAATACTCAATCCTGAGAAGTTATATTAAAGAAACAAACTTCACCAGAATTTATGAGTTACTTGGAAATTCAACTGTTAACTCATCCACTTTTACATAATACTTAATTGATATCTCAAAGAGACTTGCATCCAGGGAACCGTAGGCGCAGATTCTTTCTTTAAATGCAATCGACCGGAGTAATTGTTGGATTCTTTTTTAAAAAAGAGAAAAGAAAATGCTAACTCCATTTAAGTCATCAAGAAGAAAAGTAAAATGCAGCGTCAGCATGAGAAGCACCATAGGCTTCTTTAGCTGGTTCCTTTCTAGATCACTTAAGCCGTAAAGTTCTCAGGAACTACATTAAGTGGTCCATATTTTCAACCTGATAAAATGGACCTTGGGCCTAACTCAACTCCAAAAGCTAGTTTATGAGGTGAGGATTGTCCAAGACCATATAAGGAGACTAAGACACCCATTACCCACCGATGTGGACACAACTCAACACCCACCCACCCCCCTACGCCCAGGCCTGCAAACTGGAGCGAGAACAACATAAATGGGGGCGCCCAACATCGGTAACAATAAATTGGAATGGGGCTGGCTCTGATACCATGATAAAATGGACACTGGGCCTAACTCAACCCCAAAAGTTAGATTATGAGGTAAGGATTATCCAAGACCATATAAGGAGACCAAGACACCCATTACCCACCGATGTGAGACACAACTCAACACAAGCTAAGTTAGAAAATATACAGTGAATTTCAAATTATTTTTTTGATGACCGAGAAATCCGTCTGGGGCCGATCCTTTGGACCAACCGCAGCCTTCGAAACTCGGTGGATAATGGGTCCGCCCCTCTACCCTTCTCCACTTAAATACCAAGCTTTGCTTTGCATGGTGTGGGGGCTTGAACCTGTGACCTAAGACACAAATCCACCACCCTTTGCCACTTGAGCTAGGCCCTGGGGCCAGTGAATTTCAAATTATATATCCACATTCTCATACATACATTTGAAATTAAGCATAATACAATATCTTCTACGAATTTGATAAGCTCGAAGCTATCCTAAAACTTGTAAGTTCTACGAATAAGTGTTTGGCCATAAAATTACCTGCTTAGCTTTGTCATAAATCTGGATTACCTCAACACATCAATAAATTTCAGATATAAAACATCAACATATTCTCTGACAATACGTGTAAAATTAAGCATAATACAATCTCTTCATTTAACTTAGCTAAACTCGAAGCTATCGTCAAACACATGCATCATATTTATCCATTTCTCAAATTTCTCAAACCAGTAAGCTATCACATATTTATAACATGATATAAGCACTTTTAAAGTCAAATTGCACCTATTAATTCAAAAACAGAGTTCGAATTTGCTAGTCATACATCGGAAAATAGCATCTATTTATTCAGTAGAAGTTTAAACTTGCTCAAAATACACCTATTATTCAAAACAAAACAAAAATCAAATTCGCTCGAAAGTTTCCAAAATCGCACCTATTCATTCAAAAAAAATAAATCAATTCCGCTCGTTACGCAGGGAAATTGCGCCTATTATTCAAAAAAAGTTCTAATTTGCTCCTTACGTCGCGAAAATGCACCTTTTGCTCGAAAAAGAAAATGTTTATATTCGTTCGTTATACATCGCCGAACTTGTGTCTAGTTTTCCAAAATGAAGTTTAAAATTCAAATATGCTTGTTATACATCGCCGTAATTGTATCTATTTGTTCAAATGTAGTTCAAATTTTGCTTGTTATACATATCGAAATTGTATCGATAAGGCGAAGTCGCATCTATTTATTCAAATGAAAGTTCAAATTTGCACATTCGATATACCTAGAAATATACTACGAATGGAGAGAGAGAGAGAGAGAGAGAGAACCTCCTTGGCGCGATTCTCGATGAGGCCGATGACGAAGCTTGATCGTTCTCCGGTGTCGTCTTCCATTTGAATTCTAAGCACTCTCAGCTGAGAAGTGTGAGCAGTGATTAGAAAAAAATTCGGTATTCGCGCCAAAGGTATATATAGGGGTGAATCTCATAGTGTTTTGACTCCGACTGGTATTTTAAGTGGGTGTTTGGACATATGAATTGTAAAATTTAAAAAAAAAAGATTTTTTTTTCAAGTGAAAATGGTATTTGAAAATTAAAATTGTGTTTAGATATGAATATAATTTTGGATTATTTTTGAAGTTTTGTGAGTGATTTGAGTGAAAATTCTGAAAATGGTTTTTTGGAGTTTTTTAAATTTTCGAAATATTTCAAAATTTATTTTCAAGTGAAAATTAAAAATTTTATGGCCAAACACTTAATCGAAAAAAAGTAAAAAAATTCTTAAGTCCAAACGGGCTCTAAGTTACATTTGTAAAGATAACTTTGCATTATAAGTATTTTAATCAGTATTTTCAGGTTAGTTATCATTTTTATAAAATAACTGATTAATTATTAATAAAAAAAATTATATTTAATTACCTAATAAGTTGCTTATATATATAAAAAAATCTTATCCCATTAGTAATTACTCCAAGTAACATGCTATAAGAGGTTATTATGGTGTAAATGATACTATCTAACTTGTGATACTACAATTTAAATTATTTCATTTTCACCACTAAAATATTCTTTAACATGACTTTTGGCCTACCACTTGGCAATCAAAACATTGATTTAATCATTTAGTATCATACCTAATCCATAATTATTTTTAAAAAAGCTTAATAGGATAAATTTTTAGAATGTTATTATGTAAAATTTAAATTGTATATACATAAAAATAAATTGTGTATACATCTCTTTGCCCGTCTGAGACGAGGTGCGTCAATCATTTTAAAATTGTACGTTATTGACCCAATTATACCAAACATAATTTTTATTACTACGATTGGAAGACACGCGATGTTAATCAACTTATCACGCTTTCTTATTTTCTTCAAAAAAATAAAATATTCAAATTTTGTTTATGTACCATTTGAAATTGCTCAATTTTATTATACGTTATACTTTAGGTTCATTTTATGTCCTTATTGTTAACCTTGGCCCCTCGTTATTAATAGAGTTCCAGCATAAAATGAATGGACACGAGTCCGAATTCTTCGAGAAAAAAAAAATCAAATTTACCAGTCAACGGTTATGATTTAAAGTTAACCCAAGTTGGAGATTTGTTATGGATCAAGGGAAAAGGGTAATATTAAATCAAAAGATTAACGAAAGACAAAATTGGTCAATTTTAGATAGTACAGGGGCAAAATCTATTAGGTCGAATATTGATACTACTTCTATTAAATGCAAAGTACTTATTAACAGTAAAAAAAAATAATTAAAAAAAAGTTAATTTTTTGGCATTTAATATTTCTCATTTTTCTGGCATTTAACTAAATTTAATTTCAATTTAATCCTTTTGGCAGACTGAATGGCAAACCAGTAAACAAATTGAATAAGTGATCATTGATCATTCCATTTGTCATACAAAAGAATCCTGGCCACATAATTTCCAAACTCCTCTTCCTCAAACAGATAATTAGGAGGAAATCAAATGGATATTTTTTCAAGAACAAATTATCCATATACTAGTTCTTTGCAAACCAATAATACCTAGAATAAATACTAGAAAAGATCAATGAGCCAACATAATATTGCAGGTGAAGGGAAGGTGAATTATGAGGAAAAAAATGAAAATATCTGGTAATACTGAGGCAATATATTGCAGGTGAATGAAGGTAATTTATGAGGAAAAAAAATGAAAATATATGATGAAAAGTGATTATCAATAGCACTTTGTTCCCTATAAAGAATTCAATCTATATATGTCACTTTTATCAAGCCATACATGACAAGTAATTTTGTCTGCAATTGAGACATGGTCGTATCTTGTGCTATATGACAAGAAATCTTGTCAGAGATTGAGACATGGTCGTATCTTGTGCTATATGACAAGTAATCTTGTTTCGGATTGAGGCTCAATAATCGTATTTTGTGCTATATGATAAGTATCTTGTTTCGGATTGATGCATAATCGTATCTGGTTGGTAAATATCGAGGGAAAAAGGCGAATCCAATGAATTTGGAAATAAATGGTTGTAGAAGAAAGAAAAGGATTTTATAACTTCATGCATGCAGCATGAATATTAGATAGGAAAAATTAGTAAAAAAAAAAAAAGGAGGAGAAATTGAAAAAAGATCATAAGGTTAATTTCAGCTATTTATTGATGGGAAAATGAAAGGAATTCAAAAGAAGGAAGTTCTTGAAGATTTTGCAATGATAGGAGGATTAATAGGGATGCAATTTATATATGCAGGAAATTCAGTATTAGCAAGTTATCTTATGTCATTAGGTTTTAAACCTTCATCCCTTGTAATTTTGTCATCATTTGCCACATTTTTAATCCTTTCTCCATTCTCCTATTTTTTTGAAAGGTAACTATCTTTCTCTCTTGTTAATGATCAGATATGTATATTTTTTCCAAACAAATTGTCCTAAAGGAAGCTAATGTATGAATGTTATTAATGTTGCAGGAGTCAATGGCCAAGGCAAATGAGTTTAAAGTTATTGATTCAATTATTGTTAATTTCTTTTGGAGGGTAAGCTATTTTTATTTCCCTTGTTCTTTTAACCCTTTTTTTTTTTTATTTTTCAAGGCAAAATTAATGAGGAAATTGAATTGTCTAGTTGCAAGAGCAATAGGGGAAAATGAAAATCATTTACATTTGAGGAAAAAAATAGAGATTATATAAGGAGCTGTAAAAGCGAATTTAGCATTTAGAACCGACTGGCTTAGCATGGATGTCATTAGATGTTTATATTTAAATTTTTGTTTTTGCATATGTAATAAGTGATTCGAGCTAAAAGTAGCGAGTTTAGTTGAACCTGTTTAACCCGCTCTAAATACGCCTATTGGAGCTAGCTAGTTTAGTTTGAAGTTTTGGCATGCTTAATTAGTACATCAACATTTTGCTGGCTTTTGCAGGGTGACACTATTTCAATCTTTATACATAAAGGGAATCAATCTGACTTCACCTGCAATGGCAACAGCTATGCCAAACCTTGCACCAGGACTCATCTTTCTCATAGCTTGGGCCTTTGGGTATATTATTCTACCTCCCAAATATTTTTGTCCTAGCATTTCCTCCCTTTATCATGTTAGATAAACTACTAAAACATGCATCTCGGTACACTAAACTCTCGTTACACGCGAGCTCCTATAAAGAGTTGGACTACATTAGGTTTATTGATCAGATACTAGTACTTAAAAAGAAAAATGAAAGGGGCAAGTTACACATTTGGCCACTCGGCCAAAAATATTTGTACATATCCTAGCCGGTATACACATATTATACATTAATCATAGACGGCTATATATATATATATATATACTGACTATTTTTTTGGGTGGGCAGCTATACAGTGTAAAAATCCTATTTATTTAATAATTAATAGAGGGGGAAGAAAGGGAAATGGTTTCTTCTAATTATTTACTTGCTTTAGTTGCAATTCTAATTTCTATGACCTTACATGCAGATGAGAGAAGGTGGAGTTAAAGTGCAAATACAGCAAAGTCAAAATTTTAGGAACACTATTGTGCATAACAGGGGCAATTCTAATGAGCCTAATGCAAAGTAGTTCAAATGCTCACATACCAGAAAAAGAGGCTCAGTTTTCTTTACCATCTCCACCACATGATGATGATGATGCTGACATATTTAATGAAGATAAGATCAAGGGTTCAATCTATCTCATGGCAGCAATCTTGGTGTTATCAAGTAGTGTTGTTTTGCAGGTATATAGACAGTATTAACTAATACTTACTCCCAATTAGCGAGTAACAAGAGCCTCGCCAAAATTTGAGCGAGGATGTTCTAATAAGTACCTCGCTAATTTGAGCGTGGACGTTCATATAAGTTCCTTGCTTATTATGAGCGAGGACGTTCTAATAAGGGCCTCGCTAATTATAAGCGAGGATGTTCTAGTAAGAAAGGGCCTCGCTAATTATGAGCGAGGATGTTCTAATAAGGGCCTCGCTAATTATGAGCGAGGACGTTCTAATAAGGGCCTCCCTAATTATGAGTGAGGACGTTCTAATAAGGGCCTCGCTAATTATGAGCGAGGACGGTCTAATAAGGGTCTTGCTAATTATGAGCGAGGACGTTCTAATAAGGGCCTCGCTAATTATGAGCGAGGACGGTCTAATAAGGGTCTTGCTAATTATGAGCGAGGACGTTCTATAAGGACCTCGCTAATTATGAGTGAGGATGTTCTAATAAGGAAGGGTCTCGCTAATTATGACTGAGGACGTTCTAAAAGGGCCTCAGAACGTCCTCGCTCATAATTAGCGAGGGCATTCTAATAAGGGCCTCGCTAATTATGATCGAGGATGTTCTAATAAGGGCATTGCTAATAAGCTAGGATGTTCTAATCAGAGGCGGATCCAGGATTTAAACCCTATGGATTTAGCCTTTAAGATTTTTAGCATTAAACTCAATATATTTTTAAAGTTACGGGTTCAAATCTACTATTTGTTGCAATTTTAGTATAGATTTTACACAAATTTATGCTACGCATCGAAAGTTATGGGCTCAATTGAACCCATCATATATACGCTACATACGCGCCTGGTTCTAGTGAGGTCCTGCTAATTTCTTTTGACGTGGCATTTGTGTTCCCTAAATTTAGCAAGGTTATAATCTTTCGCGCTAAAAGGAACCTTTTCCTCGTTATTGTATACTAGTTGTATATTAGCCCGTCGCTATTGTTCCTTTTAGTCCCCATAGTGTGGGATAATACTGGGTATATTGTTATTGTTGTCGTTATTCTTATTGTTCCTTTTAGTGATGAACTGTATATTTCCTCGCTAAAATTCGAAATGACATTTTTCTTGTATAGTGTCACTTTGCTAGTGTAGTTCTTCCTAATATGTTGGTTAATTAACAACTTTTCAGGCAACAACCTTGGGATATTTTCCAGCACCAATCTCCTTATCT